TGGAAGGCAAAGAAGTAATAATTTGGATTCTATTGTTTAAATGACACATTTCTAGTGGCATCTTCCTTAATTTCTGAAAACTATAGAAATACTTCCAGTTACCTACCTCATTTTCTAGCTGATCAGTTAGCTGATCTGGAAGTTCTTTCATTTCTGCATCAGTATTGTCTTTACTATCAGAGAGTGAGTCAAGAATATTATCAGCACTATAATCCTCTCCGCAATCTACAGCGCTGCCATTATCTATTTCAGCTTCATCTAACACACTAATATCCATCATGTCAATATCCTGCAAGTTATCCAAGCTCGCTTCAATATCCTCCTGAAAGAAGAAAGAGAATAGATCTATATTCACTGCGACTTGAAGCAGCACCCTCTTTTTAATCTCAATCATGATTTCACTTACCTGTCCATCTCTTGAGTTTTCCTCAAGTCCGTTGTCTTCAACACCTTCGTCTTCTGGCTTTCGCCCTGGAAAACAATATTCTTCAGGTGATAAACATGTCAGTATACGCTTTTTGCTAAACTTCAAATTCCAAGTTCATCATTAAAAAAAAAAAAACAACAAAAAACCAAGATCGGATGCAGCGAGCAAATTCTGTCCCTAGGTAGGTGAGACAGTATTGCAACACTAGATGTGATTAAATGATGTCTCCTATCACATCTAAGTGAGCAGTTATGTTTTCTTATACCATTCTCTCTTCCCCAAGACCTCAATATTTAAAAGGATAAAAATAAAAAATGTTTCAATATGAAACCTTAAAAAATAATTATTACAGAAGCCTAATGTCACTATTTAAGTCCTATTTGCTCTGGAAAAGATTGATTTATTAACAGCTTACAATTTAGATCCAAATATTGCAAGCAGGTCCACAAAAGACCAAATCATAAAATAAAGGCCATCAGTTTAAAGATCCAGAACATGTTTAAGCCAAGTCTCACATCAGGGAAATATGCAAAGAAATTGCTACTGAGTAAGATTTTCACTTTGTGGTTCTCAGACTTCACCACCATCGGGTGGAAAGGAAGTGGCTTCAAACAACACTCTCAAAAGCAATGTTTTGAAATATGGCTGATTTTTAAACATGAGCTAAATGAAATTTCAGTAATATGTGCATCTGAATACCCAAGTCAATATTTGAGGCTTTTTCACACAATTACATTCTATTAGTAGTAGTAGGCTACCTTGTCTTTCAGAAAAGGAAGGATTTCTTTGCAAAATGTTGATTCAAATGAAAAATCTTGCATTTTAGGACCACTTTGTTTGCTTGTATTTGCTTAGCGACTGTTTCAATTATCCCCAGGGCTGTACAATTTATTACGTGCAAAATTTCAATTCTGTGATGACACAGATTTCATCTTTCTAGAGAGCCATTGAAACAGCACACAGTTATGAAAAGAAAATAAACAGCAGCACGGCAACTGAAGATTAAGATTACTGGCAGAGCTTGTAATGGTTTTACACGGCAGCTGTTTGCTCTGTTCCTGGCACAATCCTGTCGGAGTCATTCGTCCTAAAAATACACTTGAAATTTAAAGCCTTGTCCATAATTTTATTGGCGTACCAATAAGAGTTGTGTTTAAACTTATTAATAATCTGTCTCCGCTGGTCAGGGGAAGAGTGATAAGTCTCCAACATTTAGCTGTTGCTGGCATAGTTTTACCAGTAGCATTAACAATGGGACAGCCAAAGTTCAGAATAATGAAAACTAACCCCAAGGAAATAAGACTACATTATAGACGCAACATACACCTTTCCAGAACTGTTCTGTACCTTTGTTAGTTCTCTTTGGAGTTCTCTTGTTCGTCATTTCTGAAGCCACTGGAATTTCTTCAGGCTCTCCTCCTTCCTCTTCAATGGCCTACGGGAGACAGAAAGAGAGAGTCACTGCAATGACAACACTTTGTTGAAGCCATTAACTTGGTATTTTATCTTTTTGTGGATTTACCCTGCTTTCATCCCCCATTATTTCCTCACACACAGAAAAGCTTTGATCCCATAACACACAAACCGTGCGTAAGCAGCGATCACAAATTTCAACTGTACCGAGTCCCCATCACTGAGATAGGGAACCAGAGCGCAACATTTACAGTATCTGGGCCGCAATGAAAGAACAGTAGCAATCTGGGCAACAATGAAAGCATTATTTGGCACTGGTGAAACCTCATCTGGAGTCCTGTGTCCAGTTTCAGGACCCCCACTACAGAAAGGATGTGGACAAATTGGAGAGCCCAGCAGAAGGCAATGAAAATGGTTTTGGGGGCTGGGCCACGTGGCTTAGGAGGAGCGGCTGAGGGATCTGGGCTTATTTAGTCTGGAAAAGAGGAGACCGAGAGGGGATTTGATAGCAGCCTTCAACTCGCTGCAGGGTGGATCCAGAGAGGATGGAGCTGGACTGTTCCCAGTGGGGGCAGATGATAAAACAAGGAGCAACGGGCTCAAGTTGCAGCAAGAGAAATTGAGGTTAGATATTAAGAAAGAACTCTCTCACTAGAAGGCAGGAAAGTGCTGAAACAGGCTAATTCATCCAAGATGTGGCCTCTTCATCCTTGGATATTTTTAAGACCTGGGTAGACAAAGTCTTCACAGCAAGGATACATCTGGGGATAGTCCTGCTTTGAACAGGGGGCTGGACTAGATGACCTCCCGAGGTCCCTTCCAGCCCTCGTTCGCTATGATCCTATGGAAGTGCTCCTCTAGGCACCGGAGAAGAACAACGAAGACAAAGATGTTGGACGCCGCAGCATCCAACCTACAAAATTGAGACAAAAGCGGTTGGACCATGCGGTGTCCAACCTACAAAATCGAGACAAAGACGGTTCGAAACCGCGGCGTCCAACCTACAAAAACAAGACGAAGACGTTGGGCGCCGTAGCGTCAAACCTACAAAAAGTAAGCAAAGGCGGCTGGACGCCGTCCACATCGTCACCCGCTCGCCAAACCTACGAAAACGAACCGTGGACGACCGGAGGATGAAAACGCACAAGACGAGAAGCGCTAACGACAGCCGCCGGAAACCTCCCTGAACGCTACACCGCTATGCCGATTTCGCCGGGCGCCGAGACCTCCGAGCACGAGGGTTTGTGCAGGGGCTGCTCGCCGCCCCGCAGACGTCCTGATGCGCCTCCACCCGGGGCTGCGTCCAGACCTTTTGTTCAGGCCAGACGGAGCTGGGCAGGGCTGTGGAGGCCCCCAAAACCATCAGCCCACAGGGGGGGGGCGGGGGGCAGCAGGCGGGGTGGCGCGGGCCGCGCACAGGCAGCCACGACCCGGGCCCAAGGGAAGGCCGCGGGGGAAAGGAGGGGGAGGGGCGGGTCGCGCATGCGCGCAGGAGCACCGCCCCAGACAAAGAACCCGGATGTCCCCTCCTTTTCCCCTCCCCCCCACCTTGCGGAGCCGCTCCATGAGGACGCTCTTGTTGCCGCCGGTGTCCAGGTTGCGGCGCTTGAGCTCGGCCCGCAGGTCGATCACGCGCAGCTCGCTCAGCCGCCGGGTCTCAGGCTCCGAGCTCGGCGCTGCCGCGGGGGCTGCGTTCAGAGGCGCGGATTCCGCCGGCCCGGCCGCTGGCTGCGTCTCCGTCATGGCGGAGCGGGGAGAGGCGGTCGGACGGTGCGCTGTGATCCTACCACAAAATGGTGGGCAGGCCGAGACGACTCAGGGTGTCCCCCCTTCACCAGTGCGCATGTGCGGAGTGCTTGTGCGCAGGCGCGAAGCCTCTTCAACAGACACTGTGGCCCCGTCCTGCGCATGCGCGAAGTGCGTATGAGGGACCACACAGGAGCTAGCCGCCAGGTGTCACGCATGCGCGAAGAGAGCGCAAGGGAGTGAGCGCGAGTAAACCTTCATACAGGACACAGCGATCTGGTCCAGCGCATGCGCAGAGCGGAGACTGCCACAGGACGGCGACTCGACCTCGCGCATGCGCGATGAGTTTAGGCAGCGTCCGCACATGTGCGGGGCGGCGGGGCACGGCCGGGGCCCCCCCGCAGGGGGCGGCACGG